ACGTCAACCCTGATAAGCCAGACACTGGTGGCCGAACACCGCTGTCGTGGGCTGCCGAGAGAGGGCGTGATGGCGTAGTGAAGCTGCTGTTGGAACGGGAAGACGTCGACCCCGATAGGCGAGATAACAATGGTAAAACGCCACTATTGTTGGCTGCTAAGAATCGGTACCCGGGGGTCCTCAAGCTACTGCACACCCGTGCGTCTGGGAACCCCAGCACAACTTAACCCAACAATACAAGATCTTTCCTACCACTTTGTGCCTCTCACTCACCATCCTTATAGACACATTCAGGCGGCTACCGGCCACTCCCCTCCCCTTCAGATCGCTTCCTTATCTCCGCCTGTACTATGCTATATTCTCGCAGACATTGCTTTCTTTTCCTATCTTGACCCTTCTCATCCAACTTGCCCTTCACCCCCGAATTCAATTCCCCCTGTGGTCGGTGTTCGAACCCCAGTCAGGCATATCCATTTATATATTCATCAGCGCTTCCTAGTGCTTGAATCTGGCTTTATTTTTTCATCCGAGTCCACTCGGGCATACTAGCGCTGATGTACAATTTTGTAGTTATAATATGAACTTTTAGTCTATGTTTCAGTTTTTATACCTCTTCTCCACGGTAATACGGCATTTGTATTTAGATTGCCCGTTGCTCACCGTTCATACATTCTAAATTCTCTTCACTTTTATCCTTCGTGTGTACCGTATTAACTTAAATAAGAGCAACACATCTCGGGACGTCTGACTTGCCTATTTTGGTAGGGACGGGAGAAAATACTAGCAAAATAAAACCACGCGTTACCAAGAGGGGAAACCTAGACGTCCCGAGCGGTGTTGCTCTTATTCAAGTTCATACGGTAGTGTTCCGAACCGTCCAGTCCGTCCGTCTTGGAGCTAGGTCCGGACGGACTGCCGGTGGTAGTCCCTCTTTTTTCAAGTCTATGGACGGACTAGGGCAAATTGAGGTAGGATAGGACACCCTACCGGTCTCTGTGGAGATTTCCTGTTACATCTCTTTCGCTGGTATGCTCAGAAACTTCAAATTCATGATTTCATCTCGCACACTGTTTATGATCACTGTTAGTACCTCAAGAGTCGGAGTATCCCGCTCTGTGCGCTGGAGAGGGCACCTGCACTGTCGCTCTCAGAAAGTTGTTATAGTGGTTGCGGATATCCGGATTCTAGAGGCTCAATTGAGTCTCCTGGTAATCCCTCTGGAAAAACCCAAGGCATTGTGCTGTGTGCCAACTTCCGTTGTATCTGTTCTTTGACTTCGTTGCGATATCACCACTGTGACAATAATCAAAGAAAAAGTCTTATGTGATCATTTGAAAGAGAAAATAAGGCTCACAGTAGTGGAATGATTGCTTCAGTCTTATCTTAATGCTCTGGGCACTTGACGATCTATTTAACCTTCTTTTTTTTTACAGACATATCGTTTGCTGTGTTGGTTACAAAGCATCATCATATATCATACCACTCATAGTTTGTCCGCAGCCCTCGGCCGTTATTCCTAATACCTGCCGTTTGTGTACCCCCCCGCAGTCCTTACTTACACCCTGCAGCCCCTGCCCACACCCTGCTGTCTTCGGAGACCCTCTATAGACCCATGCAATCCCGGCCGTCCAGCCATCTCCCCTGCCGTCCCCCGAAGCAGCCGATTTCCCGTCTCCCTCACTATCGTAATAGAGGACTAGCGTGTAGGGCCTGGCGGTCTTAGCCTAGCCGGTAGTCCCCCGAGAAATTTGCCCCATAGGACCACGGCTAGCGTTCCCGTCCGGTCTCGTCCTCTTGGTATTATCACCGGCGTTCCTGTGGGGCCCCTGGACGGCTCGGAACACTGCTCGTGTGCTTCAGTACTCTTTCTCACGCGCGTGATAGACTACATGCTTCATAGCCCGTGATGCCCTCACGCCTCGTTGCTCTGCCTAAGATTACCGGAGAAGCAATAGTTCAACCACAACCTCTTGATCCTTGCCGGGACGCTATGTGTGGAGCCCAAGTTGTCGTGCTTGCATGCCAGGTGCCCGGTCCCCATTCCAAAACCAGGACAGACCCAACACGAAAACAGCACTTACATTCCATATTTCTATAATTAGCTCTGTAGTTTGAGTTCTCCCTTCCCACTCTCAGACTCTCTCACAACCTCCCCATCTACCCGAGACTCCACCAAGATGCATCGTCGCAGCTGCAGAAGACAGGGCTACCGGAGCTAAATATACCCACCCACTCATCGCCGGAGCCAAAACGGGGACTAAAGACAATAACGAATTCATCCCTCCCAGCGGGCAACCCTGGTGCTTGGAGGTGGTGAATATGCACCGATGCGGTGGAATGCACTAGAGTGCATGTGGGTGTAGAAACAGTGGCAGAAAATACTTGGGTACGACAGCGTTATTGACATCCCCGCACCTCAGGAGAATCACTGACTTTATAGGGAGATAGTCTGGGGCTCCTCATCCCTTGATATAATGATATAACCACCCCGGTCTTCCCCGACTATGTTTTGAAGTAGATGGCGGGCGAAGTTACGAGAAGCCGCTACTATTATTATTATCATACAGGGGCGGATCGTTTCATTCGGTTCACATTTTTTCCACCGTGCACTCTTGGGATCATAATGAAGGTTTCCGGCAGGAGTGGGCCGATGACCACACTAACCCCAACCATACATACAGGCGCCCAGGGTAGTTAGCCGACATACTCAATCGCAAACTTATGGTATGTGTTTGTTGGTGGGGGGGGGGGGTGCTTATTAATATGTCATCGTGCGTGGATACTTCTGTGCAGGCCTGAATGGAATATATGCGATTACTTACCTACCAGCCAAGTGACGACGGCCGGCTAGATGGTGAGTCTGCCGTTGGTGACCAACCGTACAGTACAAAGTACTGTATGTTAATTCAGCGACGTATCGTGACGCTAGGTATGTACGGAAAAGCGCATTTCGGTAGACCCGAAAGGAGCATAAATAGACCTTTGAAAAGGGGCCTGAGGGATTGTTGTTTACCAAGGGTGAAGATAAAGCTCATGAAAAGGCTCACGGTGATTGATTCTAATAGTGAGGTTATTGAATCCTTGACAAGGAGTGTTACACATGAGGTTTACACTTCTGATACTCTTGATGTGGGCCTGTTTTTGTTTTTTTGGTCCCGGGAACTTACTCTTCGGGACAAGGATTTACTATTCTATATCGCTTATAGGGAAGCGCGTAGTTTTGGGATCCGGAATTATATCTTGACATGCTTATTCGGCCACAAATGCGAGGGAGAAGAAGGGAATGCGATTTGCCTTTAATGGGTATGCCTTTCCATTTTCGGTGGTCTTAGTGGGATGCTAATTGTCTCCGGAAGCCATGGCAATGCGCCGAGTGGGCTGCCTCACGAATTGATTGTTTAAAAGAGTGGAAATCTCAATGGATGACACACTTGGAGCATCTTTCCGGAGAAGGTGGCATATTCTGGATGCCTTACGAACGAAAACCCGCCCCCACGCGTTTTCTCTCCCGCAAAGAACCGCAGATGATAGACTCCTACCCAGATTTCGACAAATCGATTGCACTTACCATTTCGACCCCAGCTGGGCTATCCCAAATAATCCCTGGATCGAAGAGCTGGTATTACGAGCAACGGTATACAGTGACGGGATTCGCGGTCTTCCACATCACAAAGGGCCTAGTAGTTACCGTCCTCTGAACTCGGTCGCCGCTACTCCAGGAGTGTCGCAAGCCAGCACTCTTTCTACATCCACTTCCGTATCTAGTATCGGTATCAAGGAAGAATTCGAGGACAGAGTGTATCACTCACTCGTGATCGAACACAGTCGTGTCCTGAAGCGCAGACCCCAAGTTGGGCTAGGAAAGGACGCCGCCATGGGTAAATTGCTGGCGGCAACAAAGTATCGATCAATGATAAGGTTGTCAAGAAGGCGAAAAATATAACCGTTCCCACAACAGGGAATGAGCCCTGGCCCTGCGTTGTCAAGGCCAGTACGACTTCCAAGGATGGGAAGATAATCGCCGAGATGGCTCCTGGGGCAAGCGAGAAGGAAATGCAGCTAGGTGAAGGAGCCAAAGCCGGCAGAATTACCTCAACCGAGCCTAAAGGTGGCGGTTTAGGCATGGGCGTGGGGTCCGGCAGAGGGTGATGAGGGGAAGGCCAGGAAACGCACCGAAAGAAAGGCGCAACAGCAGAACTAGGGTCATCCGCTGGCCCTCATCGGTACTACACGGCAAGCTGGAGGGCATCTACCCTCCGTGGAAGGCTGGCCTCCGTGAAGGCATGGCAGCAGGAAAAATGGAAGAGGGAGAAGTTGTTAAACGCAAGGAAGACAAAGAAGGAGCGAAATGCGAGGGAGAAGGGAGAGAAGAAGTGGAGCGGAACGGCTAAAGGATTAATAGTTGAACCTGTTCGCGCTTCCGAGAGGTGCTCTGACGTGCTCGATCATGATCATCCAGCAAAGCTGGCTTCTTGCGGGGCTGGAGGTGATGGGGATGGGGAGGACGTTGGTGAGCAGAAAAACCTTTCCCTGCTTGACAAACAATGGGGATGTTGTTTTGCTCAGGACAATTAAGGATCTCCACGGTATTGGAGGGTAGGCATCTTGCTTTATTTGTCTGGCTTAGTTCGTTTCACAATCTGCTGTGCTCTGTGATTTTGAGTTCATTTCGGTCTTGGATACAATCCCTTCATCAGAAATCGCTATCAGGATATAAAAGATCTATTGGGCTAGTTGATTGATAACTCGAGAGTTGCGCCATATCCCACTTGCCTTCGTCTTTGTCACAGTTTAGTTAGAATAGCATAGTGAATTATACCGGGAGCCCCCCTTGACATCCCGGTGTGCATCACATACTATCACCCGTAACAGGGGACATATTTTTTTGAATACTAGTAATAGCGGAGACGATACCCAGCCAACACAACAACGCCCCGACAACGGGCAAGCATCCAATACGGCACGAGATTAAGTTATTTTGTTGAGCCGTGATATCCTTTCATTTCCTGCAGCATGTTTGAAACCGCGCAGGTAATCGGCCATAATTCTAGGGTCACCTCTCTCATCTTACGGCTACGGACACAAATACCGAAATACTTCGATGCTCAGCTATGAATTTCGGAAAAAAAAATAAAAGCGACATTTTAGCAAAGCGGGATAGATGAATTTAACTGCTTTTAGCACAGGCTGTAATTCCCAATCCGCCAATTTCCGTTTTCCTTTACGCACCAGTAGTGAGTGTCGCCCGTGAGTTCTTGTAGAGCTCTAGTAATCTGCCCAAGATTCTCCGGCCAATAGGGACCTTTGGCATCCGAAAATATTATCATTGCACGGGATGGTAGAGTGATAGTGGTTAACCCCCTTTGTGTGCGACATTTTATATAAAGTGGAGACATACCAAGACTAAAAAAAGGAAAATATAGATCTTCCCAGAGTTTCACTTTGCGAATCCGTAATAAATTTGCATTCCACGGACAATACTGGGGGTATCCAGACACAACTACACAACAATTGTACTCATGGACTTTACAACGGAGAGCCAAATGTAACCTTTCTGGAAGCTCGAATCAGACGTGTCACACTCCCTTTTTCCCTTTGCCCCACCATCCTGCTAATTGGCAATAGGCATACTTGGAATGCTGGACGGAACTGGTAGGCAAAGGGGGGGCGACAAGCGCAGAATCAAAGTTGGCAAATCCTTGGAGGGAATATCCATAGGGTGAGCGAAGAAGTGCACAACCATATTATGGGAGGACAGCCTTGAGCTTCGGCATTAGGTGGGACAAGTATGTCAGAACCTTCGCTATCTTGTTCTCATTTCTCTCACCGCCACCTTTCTAAACTAATCTGATAGTAGAGATAGGAGTATGTGAAAAACATAATCAGAGTATTCCTGTTGAAAATCACCAGTACTCACAGGCTTCACACTCACACTTCCGGAAACAGATATGTGTCAGTGGGTTTCGTTAGTGTATTTTCTTTGTGCTTCATCTACGTTTCAGGTTGTTAGACGCTAAGTATTTCAGGGGGGGTTTCTTGTTCTGCATTGCTCGCAGATTCTCTGTATTCTTACGGCTCTTAGATTCTGCAGGCAGCAGCAGATAGAACCTCGGCTGACTTTGACCTCGGGAATGGTGTTAGCCGAAACGTCTATCGGGCATGGCAAGGGACCGGCTGAATGCCAGCGAGGGGCCGAGGACACATGATCTCTTTTGTTGATAATACTCGTTTTGTTTTTCTTATATAAAACCCCATGTACTGGAAGGATCAAGAGGAAGAGGAAATAGCGACAATACGGAATACAAATTTCATCTAACTTCCTAATTTTCATCGTACTTGACCTCCTATCAGCAGCTCATAATAATTCCGACATTCCCATTGATTACCACACCTATCCCCATACCTCCATGCCTGCCCCCTTTCCTCTATAAACATACCGGTATACTCCCTCAGTGACAAAGGAAAGACATGTCGAGATAACATGCTCCGGGAACCACTCAATCTCTGGAAAAAACCCTAACATAAATAGCTCTAACTTGGCGGGGAATACAACAGGAGGCTCCCCGTGAAACCTCACCTTTATCGCGGGATGAGCGCCATTGGGCTGCAGGCGCGAGACTAGCTAAACCCCAACCGGGACACTTCCATTACCCATGAGATCTGAAGGGGCTGCGCTAGTACCTTTGCACCGCACGATACTCACGTTGCCGGATTGAGGATTTCTTTTCTTTTCTTTAGTATCTCCTGCCCCCTTGTTCATCCACTCAGTAGCTCACAGGGCTAGCCCAAAACATAGTGCACTAGACTGGGTTACGCCGTGGAAAACCCATAGAAAGACTTGCCTCCTTTGCTCAGAAGACTTACCCATAGGCCCAAGCTATGATAGTACCGTTAGCTAAATTTTCAGCTCCAGGAACTAATAGATGACTGCTCACCGCAGAGATTTAAACAGAGTTTAAGTTACTCCTCGGATACTATCAATGTTGTAATTGTAGAGATAAGATCCGAATCGGTGGTGCGGAAGGACCACCCACTGCATGGGCGTCAACTAACGAATTGAACTATAGGGATATACGGGTAACTTGTGGTATACGCTGCACTATAGGTCTACGCCCTCAAACCCTGCCACGCTATCCTAGCGGTCTCCATTGGATCAGGGAACCAAAGCGCAGAAGAAAGGAAAAAGGGAGAAAAATTGAAGACTATTCTCCTCCCTTCCACACCATTCCGGATCCCCTTCGGAGAAGAATTACCAAACGGGCACATCACTTTATAGCCTTTGAGGAACCTCGCGACAGCATGTCAAGCGATCTCTGCAATGTTCTGACAGATAGCGCTATTGAGGGTTGGGAACGAGGGGGTGGGTGAGGGTGATGGCGGGAGTATGATAACTGTTTATGATATGGTACTATACGTTGACGTTAGGGCTCTCCGGAGTTTTAAATGGGGAAAGAATCTCAACGGGGGGATCATTACCGTACTCGAGCACATCCACCCACACTGACTCGACAACTGCAGACACCGACACTCAAAACACCCACCAATCCACCGTTTCCGCTATAAAAGACCGGACTTCCAAAATCAGATACATCCCCCTCACAGGCAGAATCCGGGCGGGGTGGTGTAACGTGCCGGTAAGGCGTGATCAGCCAACCGCCGCCGCACCCCGCAACCACGGATCGAGCGGAGCTGTGCGTGACAAAGGCCTTGAGACCTCCCAATTCTCACAAACTCTCATCCATTAACCAGAAATATACCCCCCGGGATTCTTATAGGTTTTAAGGAAACTTACCACCTACCCAGATGGAGTGATAGCGCACCGAGGTTGCTCTTAGAAAAACGGCCATACTAAAAGGGAAAAAGGCGGTACCAGGCGTAGAGACAGGTGGGGGAAGGGAAAGGATGAGGAGAAGGAAACGGAAAATGGTATTGCGGGCGGGAAGTCGAACCAGGACGTGGAGGTGGGACATACCCCCACGACTCCTGAGTGGAGTTGATTCAGGGGGGGATCGTGATGGGTTACATGGGCGGTTACTAAATAGGCGGCTGGAAGTGTTGGTGGTGCCTATGAATATTAATTAAGATCAAGTTTCCCAAAAGAATAGGGATAAACCTTTATCATTATTTTTTAGGTAATATGAACACTCTCCCCCTCTGTTCGGGATACCCAGCGGTCACGGATGGGATCCGTGAAGTTTGGTCATCCGGGAGAGATGGGCTCTGGGGTATATCACCCCCCAAAAAAACACGGTAACTGCCGACTACACATTCATTCAATAACCACCCGCACGACATATCGCTTTTATGAGCGCAGCGAATTAAGGGACAGGCATTCTTTATGCCCTTATTCAATAAGGAAGTATAGTATATCCTAAGTAGGAGGATTGTATATACTGGTACTGCATTCTATTACGCTAATTAATTGAGGTCGCACTATAACTACATCCATCGCCCTGCAAATCCCTATTCGGGAGTTCCCAAATTCGAACACCTCTCTCCTGCCCCAGGAGTAATGGGCGATTAATCACCGCCCCGATACGATGTACGATGGCTATTCCATTAAGCATAGCTTAAGAATAGTCCTGAATAATGGCGGGGGGTTGAAGAAAAATTGGAGGGGATGTGTGGAAACCGGTAGCAGATTCGAGCGACGCGAGATTGAGCAGTATCTTGACGGAGCGGTAGTTCTATCCATAAAACCCAGCCATGATGATATCGTAAGATATATCCGGATGAGATTGAGTAAGGATACATCTCCAGATGCAATGGATAGTGGTCTGGAAGCCGAAATGGTCAAAAGTATTCCGGAGAAGATTCCCGAAACGTAGGCGCACAACATGATAGAAAAATATATTCTACCTTCGCCGCTAACAATCCCCTCTAGGTTTCTGCTGGTTTCGCTAACCATAGATGCTATCCTTGGGGAAACCACAGCTTACGGTCGGTGGCAAAGGCTTAGGGCGATGACCAGTGGCTTGGATTTGAAAGATGTTTACGGTGCGACTGTGGAGCGAATAAAAGCGCAGGGTGGGGAGCGGTCAAGGCTCGGGATAGTGGTGCGAAACAACAAGTCACTGCCTGGATGACTAGCGAATCGAACTATCGTATGATACAAACATGGATATACCGGTAATTTGTGGTGTCTTCTGTACTCTATGGCTATGCCCCCAAACCCCCACATGCTATCCTAGCGGTTGCTATTCGATCCGGGAACCATGATGGCAACACTTTTCCGTAGGGAACTGAATGCGCAGAGGAACACTGACTGAATGGAAACACCGGAGGGCGGAGGATACTGACGTGGCGTTGCAGAACGCACTGGTGAGGGAAACGGCACAGAAACCATGAGGAGTGGAGATGGATTGTGGACGATCTATCTCCAGAAAGAAAACAAAGGAAAACAAACTAAGAACACCTTGTGGTAGCTCCTCACACCAAGGGCTAACCTCTATGCAAAACATGGAAATGGCAGTCCTGCTAGACAGGAGGACAAATCCACTCCAGTCAGCATGCCCTAGTACCGTATGGTACGATGGGGTTACTCCATCAAACCATAGCACAGCAAAAAAAAAAAA